TGTAATGGTCCTGTGACATACTTATCCAACAGACCGGAACCTTTTGAATAACTTTGAAAGGAGAATACTCATGGATCATTCCTATAAAGTTTGATTAATGTGCAGTCATTGGTTTCAGAGGGGATGTTGTTTGACGACTCATGAAGACGGGCGGAGGGTCACAATTGCTCACCATGAGCACGTTGTACTCCGATGAGCTAAAAATACCGCCTCTCTAAATCTGATCTTCTGACATCTAATCTTACAGAAAGGAAAGTTAAAAAGATTTACTAACGGGATTTTTTAAAATGTGTATAGATATGGACTAGACCGTTATGGGAATCGAATTTTTATCAATTTTATTATTTTCAAGAAGGAACATCTCCTATTAGACATTAATTATAAACACATATGCCCGTAAAATTGTATGGAGCCCTTTTCACAGAATCAAGAAAAGCGCTTAAATAGGTTGAAAAAATATGAAAAAAAAAATACGGAATTAGTTAAGTTTCTAAATTAAAATTAAATATTAGTTACAATGTATTTATTTAAACGCACATTTTTCATTGGTATATCTTTGCTGATACATGTGATAAGTAATAACTTTAGAAGAAAATGTTTACATCAGTAAATAAACCTAAGCAAATAACTTTGCTGATAGTGGTTTTAGAACACTTTATTTATTGCAAGATAACGTTTATTAAACGTTACAGCCAAAGCTCAATTTCATGTACACTTCAAATGCATCTTAAGAGCACTTCAATTGCACATGAGGTGCAATAAAGGTAGACAAGACCAATCATGCATCGTCGTCTCAGTATGTATAACAAAACTTTGCTAGCAGCAAAATAGTGTCAATACAAAAATATAGCGCAACTCACAACTCGGAGTTCAATAAGTTTTACTAATCATATGCGGGGTATTTAATTCATAGTTAAATATGTTACTTGTTTTAGACTTTTAGCCAACAAGTAATGCATTTTTTATTAATTATAATCTTAATTATGCATTTAACATACATTAAGCTTATGTCCAACTTTATACTTATTAAAATGTCCATTTTAACACTGAACGTAAATGAAATGTGTGCAAATGACCCAAATTGCTTTATGTGCAAATGATAATGAATTATATGTATTAGATAAATATAAATACATGTAGTATGATTAATTCTTTTTTAAAGTGTTTTTAAACATGTTGGATAACATAACGGTGCTTGAATGATTCAGAATCTAGTACAGAGGTTCGGCTTCTCTTTTAAAATCATGAAATAATTTTGATGCTTTTCTGCATCTTAACGGCCGGTTCGGCGCTCGTCAAACAAGATGATTCCGGTCAATAATTATTTACAGATGAAACTTGGTGTATAGCAAGCTTATATGAAAACCTCGGTTAAGATATCTTTTGGTCCCTTAGGGTCAAGGTCACTGTTTCTAAAAATAGAAAATCGGTTTCCGTTCATTAGAATGAAATATCTCATGAAAATTTGTACATTGCAAGCTTATATGAAGATCTCATTTTGAGGTTGCATTTAAGCCCCTTAGAATAAAGGTCATAGTTACCATAACTAACAAGAACTATCACTTAAGGGGATTAATACCCCGCCAGAAACTTTGACATCTTAAAAAATAAGTAGTCTGAAGAAAAGTTTGAACCAATTTTAGATGAAGTATCAACTGTGTACAAATGATTATTTCAAGTATTTGTAATCCCAACCAGGATCTTCATATAAACATGCTATACACCAAGTTTGATGACAGTATCTCATTCTTGTCCGGAAACCATTTTTCTATTATAGTAACCTTGACTTTGACCCAAGAGGGTCCAAATGTAATGCCATTTGGGGACTCCTCATTAGCTTGTTATACACCGAGTTTAATTACAATACCTCATTCCTTACTCAAGTAATACTCCATAAACCATTTTCTATTTTAGTAACGGTGATCTTGACCGTGACCCAAGGGGGTCCAAATCCAATTATATAAGCTTGTTTTACATCAAGTTTGATTACAATATCTCATTCTTAACTCTAGTTATAGTCTGGAAACCATTTTTCTATTTTTAGTGACGGTGAACTTGACCCAAGGGATTCAAATGTAATACCAACCGGATTCTTCATATAAGCTTGTCATACACCAAGTTTGATTACAATATCTAATTCCTAACCCTGGTTATTGTCCGGAAACGATTTTATCTATTTTAGTGACGGTGAGTTTGACCCCGGGGATCTAAATTCAATAGCAACCGGGGTTTCCACATAAGTTGGTGTATACAAAGTTTGATTACAACACCTGATTCTAAACTCTAGTTATCGTCTGGAAACCATGAAGTGGACCGACCAACGGACGGCTGACCGAGACAAGCTGATTCCTACGAGTATATACCCCATTTACTTCGTTTGTGGTGGTATTAAAATAGAAAAACGGTTTTTGGTCAATAACTAGAGTTTTGAAATTAGTTATTTCAATAAAAATTGGTGTAAAGCAAGCTTATGATCAGGCTTTGCTTGACATTACTTTTGGATCCCCAAGGGTCAAGGTTAAGGTCCCGGTCAGTAACTAAATTTTGGGATGATATGTTTTCATGAAACTTGGTGTATAGAAAGCTTATGAGAACATCTCGCTTTTGATTTATTTTAGGTCGCGTAGGATCAAGGTTACTGTAACTTTAAATAGGAAAACGGTTTTGGTCAATAACTATAGTTTTAAACGAGACAAGTCAGTGAAAATTGGTGTATAGCAAGCTTATGTAAAGACATTGCTTAGGATTGCATTTGCCCCCCCCCCTCACCCCCTAAGTCACCAAAAGGATCAAGGTCAAGGTCACTGTAACTGAAAATAGAAATTTGGTTTCCGAACAGTAACTATCGTTTGATATACGATATTTCAATGAAACTTGGTCTATAGCAAGTTTATCTGAACGCCTCGTCTGGAATTGCAATTGCCCCCCCCCCTACGCCCCTCAACCTCTCTAGGATCAAGGTCAAGGCTCTGTTTACGGTCAATAACTATAGTTTGGAATGAGATAATTCAATGAACTTGGGGTACAGCAAGCTTATGTGAACACCTCGCCTGGGATCGCATTTTCCTTCCCCACCTCCCTATGATCAATGGAAACTTAAACTGTTTGATAATGCTTGTGCGAAGCATATCTTCTAAAATGCGAATAATACCGCACCAGTGAGAGCAAGTACAATTATGTCAAAGAACTTAAACAATGCTTAACTTAATCTAAAAGATTATCTCTATTTATGATACATAATAATGCTAAGTGATAACACTAGAAGACGAAGCGCAGTGTACAAGAACTATAATGCTATATTTTTTTTATTTTACAATATTTAATTATAGTTGTCTATAATAATTCACATTTCTTATACTTTATTAAATGTTTGATGTCTTTCAATGTTGGTAGGACAGATATTTTGTTGTCTTCCAACTTTATACGTAATGGGTCACTTGTGTCAATGTTATTGGTGCTTAAACAGTTTTAACACACTTTTGGTCATACTACTATTTATAGACTGGTGTTGACAGATAAATTATGTGTTCACTAACTTTAACTGGAATAAGGGGACATAAAGATCAAGGTTACCAATGCCAACTTTCGCTTATACAGTCTATACCTTCCATTAATGGAAGGTAGATATCTTGTGTAGTATATTATATTTGAATGGAAGAAGTGATCACTTTGGTCAACGTTAGCAACCTGTAAAAAATGGGGTTTACACTTTTGTTCATGCAGCCTTTATTTTGTAGACTGACGTTTTTCATATTTGATAGGTAGATACCCCTTTGGTTGACCTTAAGTTCTTTAACTTTGGGTCACTCTTGCGTTTAAATAGATTTTAAACACTCTTATTGCTTTTATCTATTGACTATTGAATTTTTTGACTAATGTCCATCCATCGCCTTCTTAAAGCGATGTATTTCGTACAAATTATTCGTAAATGTACATGCCTGCCTTTCTCGGGGTCACAATGGCTATTTTATAGGCGTTTTTGCAAGAAGCTTCTAATCAATTTCTTTTGGCGATGATCTTTTACTTTACATTAATGACAAATCATGCCGAATTATCTACCCCAAATAAGGCAATTCTAGATACTGTTTTCTCTAATACATGAAATATATTTGACGGTCAAATGCTACAATTTACATGCAGTGTCTGGACGTTAATGTCTGCTATAAATTAGTTTAAGGTTAAAGAAATCCCTTAGATGCCATATGCAGCAAAAAGGGCGACACCTATGTGGTTCGTCACCAGTCGGTCCCACATTATCACGGTGCCTGTACCGGCTAGTGTCATTCTATGGTCTGCGTGGGGCAAAACTAAACAATAAAAAAGACGATCCAGATTTTTTATCTTCCATAACTTATGAATATTTCACTAATTTTGTCAGATCAAGTAGAATCCTCTAATTCAGGTAAGTAATAATTACCGGTACACAGATGCTTTAGGGAGAGGGGTCAGTATTTTGACGGAAGTAAAAGTAAAAATGCGTGTTTGAACAATCAGACGGTTTCACCAAACATGAATTTTTTTCCAGGAAAATTTGTATTAGTTCTTCACTAGTATGAGCGCACTTTACACTTTATCCTATAAAAATGAGATATCAAAAATGTTACGGAAGAAAATAAAACCTAGCATGTCTTTTGTAGTGGTTTTCTGTCCCACACAGATCTCGAAATGTCACGTAGTAAAGGGACCGTGCAAATTTCACCACTTATTTCTGGTTATTAGAACTAACTCTCAGTGACTTTGATAACCTCTGATCCCCTTTCAAAATTCCATTTTGTTTGGACTAAGTTCCGCCCATTGTTATCTCGTTTAGTGCACACGCTTTTTATTACTTGGGAACCATACGCCGCAAATAGCCCAAATAAAATTAAATTGTATTTGAATACCTCTATGTCGAAAAGATATTGCACCATAAAAATCTAATGTTTACTTTAAAAATATATGTAGCAAAAATGAATACATGTTAAATAATTAAATAAATCATTAAATTAATCAAAACAAACCTTTCACTTTATCCATTTATTTCTTGCTTATTAAGTAAGGTTTTTCATATCATGTCGAAACCTGTGTATGTTTTACGTCACTAAAAATTATCTTCCTTTCACCCCAATATCTTTATTAACCGTTAAGCTTATCTTAACATGATACGAGGGGTGTCCAAATTGTAATGCATTTCAATGCGTGATTTAAGAATAGTACAACATCATCATCGCTCTCCTTCAAAGTACTTACCAGCATGTGCTCAAAGGGGTACGGCTCATTGAGTGTTCACAAAATATGTATTTGATGGTAGAAAACATTTATCCTAAGTCAGAAATGAATTCTAAGTCAATTCCCATTCCCATTCACTATATACTAATATATAGACAAGGGTAACAACTCCCATTTGAAGGTGTCTATACCCAATCAGAGTTTTCGCCTCGCATTTTTTTAAACGATACAGCATGAATAAAATTAAGTAAGCTACATGTAGTCTAATAATTTATCTATCAAACCAAGGTAAGATTTTTCTTATTCCTCTTATACTTTACGAGTACTGACCGCCGACGTAATAAAAAACTATACACATACTCGAACTCGACATCGATCGTGGCTACGCAGTAAACACAAAGTCACCCTACTGTTCCAATCGTTACAGATGATGTCACCAGTTTTTATCATGCTGGCCAATTAAAACTACATATAAGAAATTAAAACATACCAATAAACTATTCCTGACAAGTGTTTTAGAGTCAATAGCGGCTTTACACTTTGCACCTGGTTGAATTCATTCACAACTCGCCATCTTGTCAAATCCAAATCGAGGCTCCACTTTGGATGTTAAACGTTCACTGATTGGTCGGTGTTTTTCCCGATAATTTACGTCATTGCTCGGGCTGGTTACCGGTTTGTGCTCAGTATCGTATCACAAAGCAGGTTACCAGAATAAATTTGACACAGTGCGGGAATTCGTGCGTGTTTGCATGATAATAATGGCTTCGCTGAACGTCAAGCAAAAGTTAGCGTTAGAGTTAGCCCTGAACGGGCACAACTTTGTTTTAATGGGTTCAGCTGGAACAGGCAAATCTACTGTTGTAAAAACATTCGTTGAAAAATGTATTTTGGCTGGCAAAAAAGTTTCGCTGACTTGCTCAACTGGTATCGTCTGTCTTGTTTATGACACTAAGTTAAAGGTAAGTACTCTTCTCAAGTATTTCAGAACAAGCCAAATTTACAATTTACATATATAAATCAGTTTTGATTTCATTGTTCTTGAAGCCCCCCCCCCTCCCTTATATATAACTGGTATCTAGTATTGTATGGTTTAGGCAGCATCAATACTTCAAAAATGAAGTATTGAAAATTGAAATTTGATTAAGCCAATGCTAGTGGACATGGGGGGTGTTGAACTTTTAAATACCTCTCGTGAACAGACTCAATCAAACCAAGTATACAATTTTCACATGTAAACTTTGTTTCCATTGTCCTTGAAGGATCTTCCTTTCATACAGCTGAATATAAGTACTGTATGGAACAAGTATCATCAATGCTGTGAATGCTAGTGGGAATGGGGGTGTTGCACTTTTCAATATCTCTCATTAACAGACTCAGTCAAACCAAGTATACAATTTTCACATATAAACTTTGTTTTCATTGTCCTTGAAGGATTTTCCTTTTATACAGATGAAAATTAGTACCGTATGGAACAAGTAGCATCAATTATGTGAATGCTAGTGGTCATAGGTGTGTTGCACTTTTCAATATCTCTCATGAACAGACTCAATCAAACCAAGTATACAATTTTCACATATAAACTTTGTTTTCATTGTCCTTGAAGGATCTTCCTTTTATACAGCTAAAAAATAGTACTGTATGGAACAGGTATCATCAATGCTGTGATATGTTGAAGACTAAATATAAATTGTGTTTTCATTACTTTTGAAGGACCTCCCTTTTCCACATTATAGAAAAACTTCAGTGAATGACGAAACCAATCTGACGTAGTTAATACTGAAAAATAAAATGTGTGAAATTAACAAACTACAAAAACTATTGATTTAAAAAAAACTTTTATTTGATAGTTTTTTTCCTTTGTATTATTGATCTTGTTTTTAACATTTCAATGTATTTTAAACTTTATCATAGGGTAATATCTACTTCTTTTGTAATGTAGAGAAAATTGGTTGACATTTGAATATTGATTTAACTAGCTAAGGTTTAAACATTGGTATCGAGATCAACTGTATTTTTATGAAAATGGAAAAAAAATGTATTCATAATTACGTGTTTAGGGATATCATTTATTTTTCAAACCAGTTTTCATTTAGCTGTATTGATTATCAAGTATGTGACATGTTTTGATTAACCCATAGAATGCAGCCTTATTGGCTTTAAGAGACCCAATATATAGCTAGGCATATCCATGTACCTGTTGTAGATTGTATAAATGTACATCAACAATGTTTATTGTTTTAAAATGTCACTTTTGAACCTTCTAGATAGTGAAATGTTCATGATATTTGAAAAATCAAAATTAGAATAAACTTATGATACATTTTAAAGATATATACTGTATGGCTATTTATTGCACCAACATTTTCATTGATTTTTTTGAAGATAAAACACATGTTCTGTTCATTGAACATGGTTTTACCCCCATGTACCACTTGAAATACAATTTAACAACTTCTTTATTATATTAACTTCAGTACCACTTTAGCTTACCCGAGTATCACTTTTGATATTGTCATTTTCCTGTTCAACTTATGCTTTAAAAAACAACTCGTCAATAAATCACATGGTCAATTGTGATGAATCATTAGAGGAAGAATCCTTTAATAGTCCTATAAAAGGGGCTACAATCAATAGTTTCAGAACAAGATGGTTGCCAGAGATGATTAATACAAAACAACTTCTACTCCCTTTACTCTGTTAATATTTAGATAGAAGTCAATTTGATTAATCTTTGGATGATCAAAAACTGATTGCATTATTCCTGTCTGCTGAAAGGATGGCAACAAAACGAAAAAAAGAAATAGCTTTATAAAACAGCATCTTCTCTTCTCAATTGCTGTGCAGATTTTGACGAAACTCTCTAAGAATGGCCTTAAACCATGTATACATAATAAGCTTAAATTGAATTGATTCGGTCTGCTGAACAAAATAGCCACGAGAGCTAAAACTAGAAGTAAGCTTTAAACAAAATCTCCTCAATTTCTGTGTAAAGTTTAATAAGAATTAATAGGACTGATACCTATGTGATCTGTTACAAAAAAGCTAAAATTGTTCTATCTGTTGTTCAAAATTGCTGCTAGAGGTGTCTCCTCCTTCCCTGGGTATATTTTAATGAAACTGAACAAAAATTATCCTACGCTGGTACTGTTCAATAACAGTCAAATTTTGTTTCCAGTTTGTTGAACCGGTGTCTTTATCTCTGGAGTGCTGGTGAATGCAAACGTTGATCGTTTGAAAGCCATGATGGTCCCTTTTGTTTTGCTTGTTTTCTTTATTATCCAGTTTAAATTAGTCAAACTTGTTGTCTTCCCATATAATTGTTGCAAATATTGGTCTTCTCCATTTATTGTTAATGTGTGAGATTGGATATGAAGTAGTCAACATCTTTGAATCTTTTTGAAGTGCATTGATCTGCAAATTAACCAGTTTATTTACTGGTGACAAAAGTAAATAAGTCATAATTGCAGCTAGCATACAGGTGGTATATATCTTGCAGGCGGATAAAAAAGTATTTATGATTTGAACCTGTTCCCTCGCCACTAGATTTTTGCATCTGAAATGAAAGTATTTTATGTCTTCAAACAATAAATGGTTCTTGCTAATATAAAAGTCAGATTCTTATGAGATTGATTATATTATTTTTTACTGTGGAAAAAAAGATCTTTCGAATGAAGTATAATTGATAACTTGATTTGTTTTTGAATGAAATAGTATATGAACTTATTTCATAAACATGTACTGAAGAAGATACTGAGACACAAATGTTAATTTGTTATCACTTTTTATGTAGAATGCTTTCCAGACTCTCCTGGAGAGATTGGAGCCCGTAGTAAAGGAAAATCCTAAAGGAATTCAGAGTTGCTGGGTAAAATCTGGCTTTTTGCAGAGAATAAGTTTTTCTTCTATTTGATTTTACAAGTAAGATTTTGCTAGCAAACCTTGATACAACATAGTCAACATCTGTGAGCGATATTTCATTGATTATTTTCTTTAAACAGACTTTAGGCAAAACATATCAGCATATTAATATACATGTTTATTTCTTGTTGGTTTGTTGATAGAATAATAAGTTGAGGGATCATTTGTCTGAAAAGTTTTCGGATGGATGGTAACATGTGTGTTTCACTCTACAAGCAAATCAATCAGATTTGCACTTATTCGTTTTTGTACTGTACTGCTATTCTGCTATTTTTGAGTTTTACTTTTTTGAAGAAAAAGTTTTGAGCTTAGGTTGTCGTTGCTGTCCAGAAATTTTAACGTTGGCTATGGTTGTTTTTATTTTTTAATGGCTTTTTTTTTCATTAAACTTTGACAACCCTTTGGACTTTACAGTAGACCAGACTAAACTTGACCTTGACTTATAAATTACCTTGACGTCCAAGGTCAAATGTTTGAATTTTGATTGATTTTTGCTATAATTGTCTATAACCTATAATGAATTGTAGTCAAGTCACAGGAACCCTATAGACAAAACCTTTAAGTAAGCCAAATAAAATTAAATCCTTCACTCATCAATGACTTTGGCTATAACTTTTAAATTTATGGATTGGTTGTCTTTATATCTGAGCACAACTGCCTTTACGACAATGTCTTAAAAAATTAAAACTTAATTTGACCTTGACCTATAAGTAACCTAATTCCCAAAGGAAATAAACAAACAAAACAGAAACTGTAGACTGAAGTAAAAGCAATATTTAACCTTTTTGTATATTGCAGAACAATTGGAATCGGATATGATTTAAAGACAGGAAAAGGAAAACCCTTTTAGTAACTTTACAACTGGGGTAGCTTGTTCTAAGGTAGAAATAAATTGTTTGACAGGTGACCATCAGGTATGTTATTGTAATAAATACAATATGCTAAAAGCTGTATAAAGAAAGTTTCTATGATGAAAAGTTTTGCTATTGCTGCATATTTTACTGTTGCCTATTTTCTGCCAGATATGTCTGAAGCTACTAGTATTATTTTATCATCATTTACCTCACTCATTAGAAAAAAAAGATATCACTTCTCTGCTTTTCAGATAAAAATGAAAGAGGAATATTGATATTTATTATCTTAATGTGTTAAAAGGTCTGAAGTTAATTATTGTGTCATGCATTTTTATTTGTATGTTATATAACCTCTATTGATAGGAAACATTGTGTTTACAGTTGTGTATTTTAAGTTTAATAATACACTCAAATATTAACATATTAACAGTGTTTCGCAAAGCTTATTCTCTTATCATTCATGATATTGAAATCTAAAAAAAAGACTGTTATAAGATGGTTGTGATGCTTCTTATTAAAAATTACAACTTCATTGCAGTTAATTTGAAACTGCAAGAAGAGTCAGTGACAATTTGGCATTGACTCAAATGTATTCAAATTGAAGCTCTATTTTAGGATAAGAAAAACATGACTAGCAAAAACAACCATGCATTGCTATTTCTGTTCAAGTCCGTTCATTCATTTTACACTGGCACCTTAACATATTTGTCTCTTCAAGAACCAGAATATTTCATAGTTATCATATTATATCCAGTATAAAATATGACAAGGAAATGTGGCGTTCAATGAACGCAACCCCCACACGACCCAGCCATAATAACTTTTTTCTACTATTTATTTGACAAGGAAAACATGCTATTTTGGTTACTCAAACAATTGATGTCCTCAAAATTATAACGAAATCGATATAACCTACAACATGAAAATTCGTTCAACAGGGTAGACGATCTTCACGCAATAAATAGCAGAAAGGTTTACCACCAATCATATTTAAATATAAATATGTTTCGAACTAAAATGAAGATAAGCTATGTGACGATAAAATAAGAGGAGGATTAAACATGATGGTTACTGATTTCTCCTTCTAGGTAAGATATGTTCTTTTATAATGGAATAAGAAGATAAGATAAACAATTCAACAATTTCAACAATTAATGCGAGCCTGAGTCTGAAACTATTATTTTCTGAAATTGTTTTTTCATTTATTTTCTTATTGTTATCTTTACTCATAATCCTACAAACTCCGCTCAATATGGTTTGACAAATTTTATCAATTTTTCTCTTTATCAGCAAATATATGTTTTTATTTGGTCTTGCATGTTATCATAATACGTTAAAATTGCCTAATTTGTTTTTGCTTTGTTCGTATTTATATATTCCATTCATTTGAAATCAAACCTTCCATCATTCTGCTACAGCGTACTAAAAATGATATCTATAACTTAGCCTTAACAGTTGAATAGTACACGTGTTTCGTAATATTTGTTTGCATTGTCGAATCTCTATAATATTGCGCCATTAATTATTTTAAACCAAAACAAGACAACTAAAAAAGATACCACAACGATTAAGAGACAAGCCTTTAGTCTGTACACTGTCTGATACGCAGAAATCTACGACTAAGTTTATGTAAATAAGAACAAACTTCCGGTATCAACCCGGATATGACAAATAAATTAAGTGTTTATTTTTATATCTTTTATTTCGATTTGATTTTGATATAACTACTCGTGCTTAGACGACCAGGACAAAATTAAGCAGAGATGATTGTTGTGGTTATTTTCTTAGGTAAGTTAATTTACTCTAAACTGTTTCTAGAATATTTTGTAAGAGATTAAGAAGAAAATGATATGAGGCGCGTCACGACAAAACCAACATAATGGGTTTGCGACCAGCATGGATCCAGACCAGCCTGCGCATCCGCACAGTCTGATCAGGATCCATGCTGTTCGCTTACAAACCCTAAAACAAATAGAGAAACTGATAGCGAACAGCATGGACCCTTATAAGACTGCGCGGATGCGTAGACTGGTCTGGATCCATGCTGGCCGCAAACCCATTATGTTGGTTTTGTCGTGATGCGGCTCAATTATTATATATCATTATGTATCGAAAGTTTTGTAAAGACATTCTCATTTTTTTCTCAGGATAACCAAAAGGGGAGAAAATTATACATATAAAAGTACATGTATTATGTGAAATAATTCAGTAGGAATATATTATATCTAAATCTGCGTATTTTCAAATTTTTACAAAATGTCGCTTTATAATTCTGACAAATGGAAAAGATCAACAGGAATTATAGTGAAAAGAAAAATCCGCAAATTGTAGCTATTTACCGTCCCTGATGGCCTACTAATATATTTTAGATATAATTTGTGGCAATGTTAAATAACACATTTCTAGCAAACTCTGTCATTATTTGTTATCTTTAATTGCACCTTTGATTATCGTAATTTACGTACTTTGCTTATGATTAAATGTTTTGGTATTTGATATATATAATTTTACGTTGTATCGTGACAGTGAAAATACGACATTGAGACGATAGGGCAACGACACGACAAATCATTCCTGTTTCTAACTCATTACTTTTTACGTGCATAAATGCATTTCTTAGTACGTAAGTATTGACTATTTCCATAAATCAAGGTAATTAAAATCAGTTTGTAGGTTTACACATAAGTGATAAAGTTTCATTAATGTAAATGGCCAAAGACAATGTTCATTGTCGATTTGCCAATTAACTGGAAACATGGTAAAGGGAAAATCAAATTTTAACTCGTGTTTGAAAAACTAATCTTGTTTGTCAATTCTCCTTCAGTGTTAATTAAAAAAAACAGAAAGGAGACATGCCGTTTCTCTTTACCGATACATTTCCTTGATCACCGCAGTATGAATACATTTGTTGCTGAATTAAAGCTATTTTGCTTTTTGTAACTTTGCATATTTGTTTAAACCGGTGTAACGAAGTAAAATGACGCCATAGAACTATAACCTAGGTCTATAACGTTTATAAATAAAATTCGGAATTTTGAAACTTGTTGATTGCATATTGTTGTCTAAGGAGATGTATTTAATGACAACATTTATCCCTTAATCGAGAATCACTGCAAACAGAACCTGACTTTCCTTACTATCAAAGTCAAAAACACTGAGTGAATGCCTGTCAATGGTCAGAGTCACTATTTGAATACTTTGGCCTTGAATGTTACTTTGGCTAAGCATACACCAAAACAGAGAAAATCCTAAAAATCCTTAAAGAAAAACCAAAACGGCAAAATTGAAAGTGTTGCAGGCTCGGTTTGACTGAGCCTGTTCATGGACGGTACTGTCAAGTGCAAACTACCGTCCACGCCCCCTGGCACCGGCTAGGTGCCAATACAAATTTAATACAAATCAAATACATCACTTGATAACACATTTGTATCAAATTTCATACAAGTATAGAGAGGCGTTAAAGCTTATTTTCTAATCATATTCACTGAGGCAGTATAATGATGTTGTCTAACATGTCATTTGATCCAAAATATTAATGATATTTTTGCTTAAATTATCGAAATTCAAAATACCTTTCCATAATTGTTTAAAGGGCTCTGAAAACAATACTTTTATTTATAGCAAAGTTATCGCTAATTGCAGTAAAATTCAGCAAAAATTCACCAATTGACCATAAAGGTCAAGGTCATTTATAGACCAAGGTCAAAATCCTTACGACATGCACAAGTAGACATTACCAGACATAACCAGACGACGGACAGCCTGAAACAAGTAGCTGCCCTGAAAACTTTCGTTGTGCGGTTGGGGGGATTAAAACTCATAGTGCAAATAAATATGACCTACATAATTTTTTATAGCATTGGTACATGTTCAGAATTCTGGGGCTGTTGATTGTGTGGGCTGTACATGTAAGTATATTAATAATAAGAACAATAACAACAACAACAGTGAAAAATACTAATAGGTTATCAGAATAATGATATTAATATGATAAACATAGTAACCTGAAAAAACGTATGATGACAGCTCTAAGAACATAAACAGCTTTCCTGAATGTATAAATGTAGTTTCTTATATACAAACACTTTGCATTTTCAAGATTGAATATATGTGTTTAATGTTAAAACTATCAGTAAAGTACACAGTATGATTGGTGTCACGTGAATAAAAAAAGCGAAAGTGTCGCTTGAATAAAAAAAGCAAAAAAGCTTATCAATATTTTGATATTTTAATTTAAATCTTTACGTGTGTCATACTTATTACCGCATCATAACATAGCCAGCAATGCAACATTTATCCTACGCAAACAAAAGGGGAACACTATCTTAAATGTTTAATATCTATTGAATTTCTTATTTTTCTCTCGTATAAATGCGTGCAGTTTACATTTGCCATTAACTCACTTACACGTGTTTTAATTCCTTTTATCAGCTTCTCAAACGTGTGGATTTGATGGGTTATGTTATGATATATCAGACCTTGTAACGTGTGGTACGTACATATATATTTACCTTTATATTATAAATGATAAATATAAAATAGCAAAAAAGGAAACATACACGACAAAATAGAAAACGTTTCAGGATCGGTTTGATTAATACTGTTCATGAACAGCAGTACGTGGTATATGTAACCTACTACAATACCTCCTGTTTGAGAGCAAGCATTATTGCTTCCTTGATGTATGCATGCACGGCAAGACATCATCATCATCATCATCAACAACAACAACAACAACAAACTTTTATTCGCTGTAAGGCCTCCAGCCCATGCAAAGAATATATACAATTATAAACATTTTAATAAAGCATAGCATGTGTATGATGTATGTATCGTTTTCTTCTTTCAAATGCATAATATAAATACATTGCGACAGATTTTATAAGTTCTTCATTTTTAGTTGACATGATGATATTAACTTTATTAACATTTGGTTGAGTAAAACCTTTCTCATGTACGTATGCTGTACGTAAGTCAGAATAAAAATTACAGTTAACATTAGACAATCTCCGTAAAGTATTTAAGGTGTGTTTAAAGATAAGTACAAAATAAACCCATAGATTAAGTTTAAGACCATCTTACAAACTGCAGTAAGTGATTTAATTATGTATAGTAAGCATTTCATAATTATGTCAAAATCAAATACGAAAGAAAGTCGACAAAGCTAGTACGTACGTTGCATATCCTGTTAGTAAGTGTGTTGTTTGTGAAATTTCAAATCAATATAAAAAATTTTTTTAGAAAGTAATTGTACTTATTATGAAGAAGCTGAACGTTCTATACCAATCAAAGATAGTAAGATTAAATTTGCTGTCTCGATTTTTAGACAGACAATGTGACAATTGTTCAAACTATTATAACCTAACTGATCTTATTAGTATATCTATTTGCAAAGATACAGCAAACTATGGATATTACTGTAGAAGAGGACAATCTTGCTGCGGTATAACTGGAGGATGTATACCACATGATAAAATATGTTGTAGTCCTAATCATAGATATTGCGAGCCCGATCATACGTGTTGTGGATCACACCTATGCTGTCCAAAAGAAGCCGAATGTATAAATGGAACCTGTGTACTATACACGTAATGTATCGTGATGCAAATGTATCATTTTAATCAAATTTTCATTTATAAGTATCATTATTTTCATTTATAAGTATCATTATTTTTATTAATAAGAAGAGAATGTATTTATACACTATACACGTTATAATATCACTCTTGCATGATGCAAATTTAATTAATTATACACAAAGTCTAGTATATAAACTTTAAATATCATTACCATATTTATAAAATTTAGGTTAAGGAAGAGACCACATGAAGTTGAACAACAAACCACGGCGTATCAAACTAGAATATTCAAGAGAACATTTCCAACATCAACGGTTATGACATTACCCTCTACTACAAATCGTTTGACTACACATCCGGCAGGGAAAACAATTTCTACGTTACAAACACTATATCTTACACAGAAAACATCGGACATATATCACAATTTCAACAGGAATTATGCTTCAAGGTAAAATGTACCATACATTTATCGTGCAAAGATAATAATGATAATAATTTACGTAATTGGAAAAATAATATATCAACAGTACCTATGCATACTTCAATTTATATTGATACATTGTATTACTTTCTTTGTGTGATAATTTAAACGAAAGCATTATTTTACTGGTAGATTTTTTGAAAGGCATTGGTGCATCAAATGTTCGAGACTCACAATTTGACAAAAAGTGCGTAGAAATGCAAAGTCTAGAAAAGCACGGCATGTAAAGATGACAATAATATCATTCATGTATATAAAGAAAAGAGAGAAATAGAATCCCTATGGAAAGTCCAAAACGACAAAATTGAAACTGTTGCAGGCTCGTTTTGATCGAGTTTGTTCATGGACAGCACTGGAAAGTGCAAGCTACTGCCAAGCACCTAACACTGGCTTAAGCAAATTTCGACATTCAACATTAAACATATATAAAAACTTTTTTTTATAAAATTATTTAGAAAAAGAGTTATTTAAAGGTTTGTTATTCAGATATACAGAATATATTCGCGGTGTGTACTTTAAACACTTAAAACGTCAGAATATTATGATGTATTTTTAATATATTTCAGTAACAGACACCTCGGCAGTGTCTTTAAATGGTGGTATATCGCTTTATTTGTGGCTGGTATTGGGTGTGTATGTGTTTCCCTTGGTCTTATCGTCATCATACGAAGACATACTAGATCTAAAGGTATGTATTGTATTTATGTTTTGTTTAAAACTGTTAATATCTTTGAAAAATATTGCAATTTGCATCAAGTAGGCACTTTTGTAAATGTAAACTATCTTAGTCAATGTTATTTCTGTTTTGTTTCAGCACTTGGACAGTGTAATAACTTTGGTATAGTGCCGATTGCCCCAGCACAGACCGTTGGAGTGTATCAAAATGATGATGCATCAAATTCAGTTTATGACAAAGGAAATCCTCAACAGCAGACCCGAAATATAAGTTTTATTTGAGCGAAACAGAAGCTAGGGCATAATCAACAGATAATTGTTCTTAATCCATAAAACTGCATAGTATCATGAAAACAACAGATAAAACCGTTATTGGTGATTCTAAGAAAAAGGCAATACTAAAAATACAAAGGACCTATAAATTCACTTTGAAGAAAGGGTAGGAGAAAATAAAATCTGAAAAAATATTCGAGTATTTATAGAACTAACTTTATTTCATTTTTAAGTAATACATACTAAAATTGTGAATCGTTAGACAATTGTTGACATCATATTAAAATTTCCTATATTTGTACCATAACAACTTTTCTATCAATTTGAAACTAAATAAGAAACATTATCACGCAGTTCGAAAAATTGATCTTTCGTAACACGGTGTTCAAAAATAATCATAACATAACTTAATAGTGCTGCAAATCAGCTCATTTTACTAGCCTATTTAGAGGGGTAACTGGTCTATGTCAGCCAACAGCAAGTTTCATATACCAAAATGTTCGTCTGGATCTGTAGTTTCTGGAATGGATATTCATTTGGCCCAACCCCGATGCGAAGCTAAGATATCCAAGATGGCGTCAAAGATGGCCGCCAAATCCCTAGATTTTCTAGTATATCTACGTTGGCTTATTTCCTTTTTCAGTTTTGTAAATCAATTGAAATTTTTCATAAAATTTCTTATTTTCAACTTACTCATGCTATAAATTTTGACTTTATTGATTTTTTTCTAGTTTTCATCGCCTAATTTAAACGAAAGAAGAAAAAATGTGTTGCAAACTGGGTGTCCTTTTCTGAATATGTGTAACTTATTAGTTTTATTCTTGTTTAAACTGAATAACATTCATGATTTCGTTTAATACAGCTTTAAATCTATATCTACACATATTTAGAATAAGTTAGAATAAGCGGACTATGCCATAAATGTGTTTTATTGATCTAAATTTATATACAAAGTGGGTGGGGTATTACGAACGGGGAGTCAACTTTAAATTAAATACTTTTTTTGTTTTATATTATAATAGTAATATAAAAAGGTTAACAATTTTATTTAATTGGTTAGTGATGAGACATTTTATCTTTCATAGAAAATGCCCTGCATGTGTGTCTAAATGTTGAAATATCAATTTTATTTGTTTTATGCACACAATAAGGAACTATTTACTGACCTGCAATTCGGTATTTGCTTGTCTTTTGTTAAGTTTTTTCTCCTTAGCCATAAACATTCATTGTTAGTCTTCAAATGTGATTTTGATTATACTTGTAGGTCACTGTTCAAGACCCATTAGCTAAGCATTTATTAGGCAATAATAATATCTATTTATTAACTTACAGAATTTCTCGGACAACATTTATCTCCACAACCATCATTATTGTAGGTTACTTCCCTCTTACATGTTTTTATTTCAAAGAGTTATACTACTTTATGAATAAGAGAATTTCTTTATTATGCAGGCTGTTGATTTTAAATATTCGAGCGTTCTATCTGACATGCAGCTCTTGTTTTAAGGCATTGGCATAACATATGATAATCTACAATTGAACCATATTTGGAGTTTTGTCATTATTGATGACGGATATAATATATACATTAAAATATAAAATGTAATTTGCTAGAACATTTAAAATGGGTAGGTTATTCAGTTTACATTAAGAGACTTTTTTGCTAGACTGTATCTGAATTATAAATAAAATATTATATAAATATATATATATTGAGTGAATTGAATATATATATATATATATATATATATATATATATATATATATATATATATATATATATATATATATATATATATATATATATATATATATATATATATTAAGATCAATTTCTTTTTAGCTAAACTATTCGACGATTAAGGACAACTATCCTAGTCCCCCGAGCGTCGGCGTTAAAGTTTGCGTACCATCCATATGGCTTGAAACTTGCACACTTGTTTACCATCATGTCCTCCACTTTCAAACACTAGAGGACGTATATCAAGCATTTTGACAGAATTATGCCCCTTTGCCCAACTTTGAATTTACATTAACACCTCAGATAATTTCAAAATTCCATCGACTTACGCTTTGAGACCTTGCACACTTGTTCACCATCATAATCTCAACCTGTGTACAGAGGATGTCACTGTATCAAGCTTTTTTACAAAAGTATGTCCCATTTTTTTACTATCAAGCACTGAGAATAGTCGAGCACGCTGTTCTGCTGACTGCTCTTGTGTATGATTTTGAGCATTTGGTTTTAAATTTATTAACTTCATAGGAGGAATTAAGAAAAGCTTTCAATTGGACGAAAATAGCTATTTTTTCCCTGGCGGATACTTGATAGTAATACTATGTGCTGGAGGGGGGGTAGGGGGGCATAGAGTAACATGCGATTTCCAGTACCGTCCATGAACATGCTGAATCAAACCGAGTCTGCAACAGCGGTTAACAGTGTTATATTTATAGGTCCTTTGGGATGGTGGTGTTGATGTCGGTAGTTTTCAATCCGGATCACGGCAGTAACGATATTGAATTTACCAGAGCGCAGTTCAGCCACCGAATCGTTCCTGGACAGGCTGTCAAACAGTTTACCAGTTCTAGTTGCCCTCACTTTCGCAAGAAACTGAAACTTCTGTACATAGCAGAGCAGTGGTACAGTGCGAATAACCGTAGAAACTACATGTATTTCATGATCAATCACAACGAAAGTGACCTGCCCCGTCCGGGAATCAAACACGGGTTGCCCGATTCACATATGGCTTGAAACTTCAACACTTGTTTACCTTCATGCCCTCCACTTTCAAACACTGGAGGAGGTCTATCAAGCATTTTGACAGAATTATGCCCCTTTGCCCAACTTTGAATTTACATTACCACCTCAGATAATTTCAAAATTCCATCGACATATCGCTTTGAGACCTTGCACACTTGTTCACCATCATAATCTCAACCTGTGTACAGAGGAGGTCACTGTATCAAGCTTATTTTTACAAAAGTATGTCCCATTATTTTACTATCAAGCACTGAGAATAGTCGAGCATGCTGTCCTGCTGACTGCTCTTGGATGATTCTAATGAACGCAATTTATTATTACTGGTAAACTTCTTTAAAAAGGCTATCATAAATTACGTAAATATTTTACAAAGTCATGTCGTCGTAATTCAGATAAAATATAAAATTTAATTGTACTTTAAATCCTTGAAGGTCGTTCAGCACGACATTATAGCTGTGTATAGATGTTATGTGGTACTTTCAGTTTTTTCTATTTGGCCTTCGGAATCATTGATCGCAAAACTTTTATAGTTGAGGATTGGATACTACTTAGTCGGTACTAAGAGACGTTAGATATGGTCTCTCATGAACAGACCCAATCAAACTGAGTTTGAATGATTGGCCTTTTTCGACTTCAACTTGGGTGGTTCCTGTACTGTATAATCACCCTTAGGATATGTTGCCTGCTTTTTAAATTTGTCTTTTTACGTCATATCTGTGATATGCAGGCTTCATAACCTCTGATCCCCTTTCAAAATTCAATTTTATTTAGTTCCGCCCATTGTTTTCTCGTTTAGGGCACACGCAATCTTTTACTTGGGGACCATACGCCGCTTTTCATGGAATGGCACTACTGTGTCACATTGAAGGTTCCATGATAACCGCCGTATGAACACGTCTGCGGATGTTTCTAAATTCAAAATTTCACCTTTTACACATTTTAAATGTTGAATTCTGCTTAAGCCGGTGCTAGGGGGCGTGGACGGTAACTTGCACTTTCCAGTACCGTCCATGAACAGGCTCAATCAAACCGAGCCTGCAACATTTTCAATTTTGTTGTGTTGGACTTTGTTTAGGGATTCTGTTTTTCTCTATTTTATTCTTTTACGTCTAGGTATAAGCAGGCCTGATTTATGTGGAGATGACAGCATATCTGTGGCATGCAGGCTTCATAACCTCTGATCCCCTTTCAAAATTCCATTTTATTTAGTTCCGCTCATTGTTTTCTTGTTTAGGGCACACACATTCTTGTACTTGAGGACCATACGCCGCTTGTTATGGAATGACACTAAAGTGTCTGCAGTTGTTTCTTAATCCAAAAGTTCACCATAACCATGATGTTGAATTCTGCTTAATTCGGTGCTAGGGGGCGTGTACTGTAGTTTGCACTTGACAGTGCCGTTCATGAACAAGCTCAATCAAATATGATAAACAAGATCAACAAGGAAAGGCGGCGTTCAATGAACGCAACCCCCATAAGACCCAGCAACAAGAACCAGTGGCAAGGAGCCCAGCCGGACCCCAAACAAAAACAGGACAGGGCAAAGACAGAGCACGGACGGGTTAATCATTAAATGATAAATAATTTGTAACTGATTAGGAATTAAAAGAAAAGAATAATATGCCCACAAAGGGGATGGTGACAGGAGACCGGGGGAAGGGGGGGGGCGCGTTAATCAAAGAAATAAAAACTAGAGGCAATGGGGAAACCGAGTCTGCAACATTTTCGTTTTTGACATTTTGTGCGTTCTTAATTGTTTAAATTTCGTCTTCTGTCTTGGTAAGTGATGTTCTTGTTGCTCTGTCTTCCTTTAAGGCATCGAGTACTTTGGTTATGGTAATTAAGCTGTACCTTAATTGTACATATTTACACGATCATGTATGTATGTATTTTGTTTATTTCGTCTAATGTAACAATTGTTGGAATTTTACTTGGCGGGGATTTATTTCATTTACACTGTGTCGTCGTATAGGAACATACCGGTAGTGGCAAGTTACCCACCATCCACACCCTTTAGTACCGGCTTAAGCAGAATTCTCAATTTTACATATGGTACACTTTTAAAAGAAGTGAAGACACGTCTATAGATGTATTCATACGAAAGTGATCATGGTATCTTCAATGTAAAATGTTCGTGCAATCACATTGTCAACAAGAAATAGAGAACAATGGGGGAAACTAAATCATAGTGAGTGGGGTACGATTTGAACAATAATTCATTAAATAACTAGAAGCAAATTATCATATTCCTGGTTTATTATGTTAATTAGTTACATGGACTGCACTAAAGAAGCTATAATTTGACAGAAACAAAAAAATTGGGGAAATAATTGATAGAAGAAATAAGTACCAGTTATAACCTGGGTGTCCTGCTTGGGTTTGTCCGGGGCGTACTGTGAACGTTGCCTTTGCCTTGTTGATCTTTATTCTTGTTATTTTACATTGAAAAACTATTTTAATGTACCGCCTCTCATTTTATATGTCTTACTGCATAATTACAAAGAAAGATTTCTTAAGATATGATATGAATGCATTAAAGCATTACTCTCATGAGTACATTACAATAGTGGAATAACAAAATGAGTAATAAATATTTATCTGTTTAAGCTAAGACAAGAGTATCATAGCAAAAACCCATATGTTTAGCATTATTTTGCTTAATTACGTATAAAAAAGCAAAAAGCAATCTGTTTTCTCCAATAAAATTAAATCTCTTCGTATAAAACGCTTTAAATGATATCTTGCGTGCAAAAATTTCACTTGAAATACAAAAGCGGAAACAAATATGAGCAAAAATTAATATTCTAGAAAATTTAGGGATTTGGCCGCCATCTTTGGCGCCATCTTGGATTTTTAAGCTACGCATCGGACTTGAACCAAATGAATATTCATTCCGGAAACTACAGACCAAGACGAACAATTTGGTATATAAAACTTGCTGTTGGCTGACACAGACCACTTCGGTGTCATTTTACCCTATGAATTTGCAGCACTATAAACTCATTAATAATAATCAACTTTTATCACACACCCGTGCCGATTTTGCGACTCCGTAAATATGGTATTGCACGGCCGTGCATATATTTTGACGTGACGTCATTAGCGTTATACAAACATAGTGTAAAGACGCGCTAAATGTTAGCGTTATACTATAGGCGCGTCAATGAAATATAACTGTTATTTCACCTTAAACGGTCTTTATTTTTGGTATGTGATAAATAGAATATTAAATTCGTGTAAGTTCATTACTGAATTTATTGTACTCGTTGAATAAAATAATATTATGCTCGCCAGAGGCTCGCATAATATAATTTTATTCAACTCGTGCAATAAATTCAGTATTGAACTTACACTCATTCAATATCCTCTATATAACATCATTAAAATCACAAACATTTTAACGTGATGTATGCGAGTATCAGAAGGGATTATTGAATCCAATGTACATTAATACTTTCCTGGATGGGGAGGGGTATCCGAATAATTATGCAATTTCGCGGGTGATCTCCCTTTACATACCTCTGTTGATGTTGAAAAATAGTGCAGAAATACATGTGTGTGTCAGATATATATAGAAATAGTTAATGACTATATGTTAAATTGAATGTAGGGAGTCCTATAATAGTCTGCATGTGTGTCGAGTTTTATTGAACGTATCGCTTATACTACCACTCAATGAAAAAAGGTCACTGTTACTAATTAACGTTACTGTGTTAAAATGTGTTATATCAAAAGAAATAAAAAACATGTTTGTGTATAGCCTAAAATCATTTGTTACCTCTGGAGTATCTTCAAGATTGAAACGATGTTTATCACGCGGATTTCTTACCTCACAACAAACTCAGGTGAGATAATTACGACATTGTTAACTTTTTATTATAACTCATAATTCTTTACATGTGTAGTTTGTATAATTTACAACAAACATTTTCTAAAATATATTATAAAGATGTACTTTATTGTTTATACATCAGATTTAATTTGCATATATTCAGAGCCTAGTTTGTCGGTTAAGATCTTGTTTTTATTATTGACCTACTTTCTAATGTAGATGTAGAGTATTTTATTGAACTTTTTGAACCAGCATGTAATATGAGACCCTTTACTATACGTTTATACTATGCAAATGTTATGCTGACCTGTATAATACAAAATTGTGTTCTTATTACATTATGGAGTAGTCTGAACAAAAAAAGTAGTTTTCTTATGTTCATTATGGAACCATGCTATTACAAACAATGTTTTTAATTTGATTTAATATAATCATATATAGTATATATCTTGGTAGAAAATGTAGATGTTTTTTTTAATTCGGACAATATTCGAAAAATATTTGATATTGATATTATCAACATAGTGAAGATTATACACTGGACGTATATCTTTATGAACGTGTACAATCCTCAATACTTTTTTATGACAATTCATCTGATATGCACCCGTAATCTAAATATAAATTGCGGAAGCATGTACATTGTATCTATCTCATATAAAATCTTATATGTAAAATGTTGTGATATTCATAAATACAAATGCAAGTTGGTACAGTTTACGATTACAGTGTTTTGGAACAGCGTGTACAATGGAATACGAAGATTTTAAAGACAAGAGAGCGTTAGTTACAGGTGCTGGCAAAGGTAAGCTTAGATTTAGAAACTGAATGTTATAAGAAACTTTGTATTTTGTAAAGATGCTATCTTAATTCATATTGGTATACATAAATTGGTTGGAATACATAAATACATGTATATCCGTATCTGGTATTGAGAAGATAGTAATGTGTATATTTTATTTTAGTTCCATATACTTAATACACAACTGTCAACTAGACGTATTTCAGGTCACCGGATATATCATTGTTTTGTATGTAATATCCAATTAATGTGCATCAAATAGTTGGTGACACAATTTTAAACTTTCACATCTGTTTTAAATGATAAAGCAAATAAAGGATGTATATATTGGATCAGTTTCATTGTGTCATGTTTACACATTCTATGTATGGATGTAATATGTTCTGTTGTCCTCCTGAACATGTATCTATATTTTATCAATTAAAGGTATTGGTAGAGCAATCGCAGTAAAATTGGCTAACCTAGGAGCTCAAGTATATGCTATAAGTCGGACACAGACTGATCTGGATAGTTTAAAACAACAAGTACGTATCTTTTATATGGACAAGTTGGCCGCAAAACTGCAGTAACTTTTATGAAATAAAGAATGACTTACAACACTTTTGCGGCTATACAAAACATTTGAACATACTATACATTAAAAGTAGAAACTCAAGGCACGACAGTTACATTATGTTGATCCCCAAATAAGAATATTCCTTAACATGACATTGCATTTAAGTAACTATGACGGTTAACACGAATATTTGTAACATAATTTTTATGATTTATCCGTTAAGGTACCATCGATAGATACACGGTTGCTGGATATATCAGACTGGGATATAACAAGGAAAGCTGTTGAAGATATTGGACCAATTGATTTTCTTGTGAACAACGCTGCTGTCATTAAAAGAACTCCGTTCCTGGAAGTTACAAAAGAGGAATTAGACGAGTATGTTTTAGATGTTGGTTGAAATTTGAAGTTTAAAACACAAGTAATGTAGTACTACTTGATATACAAGCAGTAGAAATCCATGTTGAATATCTGATAGCATGTTCATGCGAACTACATATGTGCTTGTGTGATATTGACTGTAACACAAAATTTTAGTCCTTTTCACGGACCAAAATAATTAAGCATGCGTTCAGAATAACTGTACTTGATAATGTACTGAACACTTATTTTTAATCATTTGATTAAATAAGCGAATTATATATGGACATCAAATTTCTTACGTCATTTAAATAAATTAATAAAAATGGAAAGCAATCCAAAAGTTCCTAAATATGTATAATATATAAAATACTTATATTATAACACAAAATTCCTAATTTTTACACAAATATAGAACAAAGGAACGAGGGTTTCAAGAATCTATCATTTCCATTTCAGTCAACATACCATTAATTTCCGAGCCGCTTTCAATATTACTCAGGTATGTCTGAAACTGAGATAGATAATTCGAGAATATGAACAAGAAAGATCATAAAATTCCAATTATCAAATATCATTAACAAAGAAAGATGGAACAATATTAGAACAGAATTTTGTTCAGATTTAACTTGTTTGTTAAAAAGATGTGTGTAAAACGAATATAAGTCAATTAAATAGTAATCAAATGCAAACAAGTGTCAACTGCATTTGAATAAATAAGTTAAATGTATTTTATCAAAGAAATATTTTACATTAGGTCTTGTGTGATACATGTTCAAGTATTTAATATTTTCACAATTTATTGTTAACTATAAATTAAAGGTTGTTACAAGAGGAATGGTGTCACGTGGTACAGGTGGAGTGATTGTAAATGTGGGAAGTATCTCTGGTATAAGAACAACAAATAATAGATCTTGTTACGGCACCTCCAAAGCTGCTCTAAATATGTTAACAATGTCCCTGGCACATGAATTAGGACCTAAAAAGGTAGGCTTTGCTGCAGTATCCCCTTGTGATAAAACACACGTTGTATATTAAGTTGATAACATGCATTGATCAAATTCAAGAAAAATATACATTAAATAACACAGGAAAATCCATGCAGTTACATGTATCTTCCGGAGCGTCGGCGTTTACGGTTCAAAACGAATTTCTTTTATTTTAGATTCGTGCAAACAGTGTCAATCCAACTGTTGTTTGGACAAATATGGGGGAAGGTGGATGGAAAGATCCAAAACTAAAAGCTGCTGCAATGGCAAAAATACCAATTGGCCGGTTTGCACGTATGATAAAAGTTATTAATAGTCGTATTTGAAATACAAATAAATTTTCTTTTTGAATGAGGATGCATTATATGTCAGTTATTTGGTAAATTTGATCCATTTTTTAAAAATATTCTTTGACTACTGTCTCAGCAATTCGATTATATGGTACAGTGGAGCTTTGTGTTTATTTATTTTAAGCATGTAGCATCAATACGGACATGCCAATGAAGGTCTATTTTTGATGCACAAGCATCTCTGAGGTACATTTAAAATGTTCGTAAAAATATCATTATTCTTCTGTTTTGTTAACTATACCAATAAAGTTTCTAAATTCTCACCTAGCTGTGACCCATTGAAGACGTATTGCTCTACAAATTCTATCGATCTTAGTTATAAATGCAATCAGACGATGTACAAATGTATTTTTTAAAGTCAAATTGTCTATTTGTAATTTTAGAACAGATAATAAGGTTGACTAGGCTTCAGCATATCGTGCGAGACTGAAGGGTGTATTTTATAATGATTATCGTTATTGCGTGCTTGTGCATGTTTGCATGTTATCAGCCCCTTAACATCTAAATTTGTTCGCTCTCTTATTTCAGTTGAAGATGATGTTGTGAACGCTACAATATACCTGCTCAGTGAGAAATCCTCGATGATTAATGGTGTAATATTACCTATAGATGGAGGCATGATTAACAGCTACCTGTAACATAAATGTGAAATTGAGCCGCATCACGACAAAACCAACATAATGCGTTTGCGACCAGCATGGATCCAGACCAGCCTGCGCATCCGCGCAGACTGATCAGGATCAATGCTGTTCGCTTACAAACCCTATTATAAGTAGAGAAACTGATAGCGAACAGCATGGCTGGTCTGGATCCATGCTGATCGCAAACGCACTATATTGGTTTTGTCCGACGCGGCTCATTAATGTCCGTTTCAACTTGTGACCCAGTATATACTGAAATACTGGTTAATCATTTTGTAACTTGTTAATCAGTACGATTGATGTGTTACAAGACAATTTGTTCTCGAACTTAGTTATCGGGTATAACAGCAGACCGGCGCTAGTCCAATGGTACTACAGCCTGAATTCAAGTCCAGGTGTAGCAAGTTCGATACTTTGCTTCTTCAGCTATGATTATTTATTGGCTTGAGGGTCAAACTTTCAATCAAAGTCCCCTGTGTAAATGTGCAATAAGCCTTGTACCTCATAGAACCGGTGATACTTTTGGAGAATTCTTTTTTTGCAATGTTTTACAGCAACATAGAATGCCGTATATATTTCTGTGCGGGATTGGATTTGTGGAAGCAACACTATAAGAATAAAAGAAACAGACTTTTGCCCTGGTGATATTAAGTGACGTTTATTAAAATTATTAAATCTGTTAAATGTTATTTATTATAGAAATGAATGATATAAATGAATGTTTATTGCACGTGCCATTATCATAGTTTTTATGATGTAAAACTCAAGCATTATCTGCGTAATAAAAATGAACTTAAAAACAAGAGGGCCATGATGGCCCTGAGGTCGCTCACCTGTATATAGGCCCCCCACCCCCCCCCAACGTTGCAGGGCCAATTTAACCCAAGGGCTTTTATTTGCACAAACTTGGTAGACACCCATAAGAAGATGTTTCATGCTAAACGTCTAAGCTCTAGCTCATTGGGCTTTTTAAAAGAAGATTTTTTTTAAGTTTTTACTATACACATATAAAGAAAATCAATGACCCCCGGGGCGGGGCCAATTTTAACCCCAGGTCTTTTATTTGAACAAACTTTGTAGACACTCACTAAAAGATGTTTCATGCTTAATATCTTAACTCTAGCTATTGGGTTTTTTCAAAGAAGATTTTTTAAGTTTTTGCTATACACATATAAAGAAAATCCATGACCCCCGGGGCGGTGCCAATTTTGACCCCAGGGCTTTTTTTTTAACAAACTTGGTAGACACCTATTAGAACATGTTTGATGCTAAATATCTTAGCCATAGCTCTTTGAGTTCTTTAAAAGAAGATTTTTTAAGTTTTTACTATATGCATATAGGGAAAATCAATGACCCCCCGGGGCGGGGCCAATTTTGACCCCAGGGCTTTTATTTGAACAAACTTGGTAGACACTTATTAGAACATGTTTCATGCTAAATATCTTAGCTCTAACTCTTTTGGTTCTTTAAAAGAATATTTTTTAAGTTTTTACTATATGCATATAGGGAAAATCAATGACCCCCCCCGGGGCGGGGCCAATTTTGACCCCAGGGCTTTTATTTGAATAAACTTGGTAGACACCCATTAGAACATGTTTCATGCTAAATATCTTAGCTCTAGCTCTTTGGGTTCTTTAAAAGAAGATTTTTTAAGTTTGTATTATATGCATAAAGGGAAAATCAATGACCCCCCGGGGCGGGGCCAATTTTGACCCCAGGGCTTTTATTTGAACAAACTTGGTAGACACTCACTAGAAGATGTTTCATGCCAAATATCTAAGCTCTAGCTCTTATGGTTTTTTAAAAGAAGTTATTAAAAGTTTTTTCTTTCGGTTGCCATGGCAACCAGAGTTCTGCATGGAATTAAATTCTTTCAACAAATTTTAAAGGTGACCACCAAAGGAACATTCCTGTGAAGTTCGGATGAAATTGGCTTAGTGGTTTATGAGGAGATGTCATTTACAGTAAAAGTTTACGGACGGACGACGGATGGACGCCGGACGAAAAGCGATCACAAAAGCTCACCCTGTCACTTTGTGACAGGTGAGCTAAAAATAGTAATCACATTGATTGATTTTTTAGACCGGGCGGTCAAGGATAACCTACGAAAGTGCAAGCACTTATTTCCAGTAGGGTCCTTACCTCAGCAGACTGTAGAGACAGCTTTGAGATACAAGGAAATCTGGGAACCAGTCCCTAGCTCTAATTGAATAGATTCCTTGGTTCTTTTACATGCCCAGTGTATAGCACTGATACATGCGAGGATTACCTGGGTTTCGTACCAGTAAACCTCTAGTAAGGTGGGAAACACTGAAAGTGTTTCTGAAAAATCCAAAGGGTGTTACCCAGGATCGAACCCGGAACCTCAGGAGTGACAGTCAGTGGTCTAACCTACTGAGCTATCGCGCCACTCCATTCATATTTTCATCTAGAAAAACTTCAAAGCTTTTAGGTAATGGTAACAAAATTGCCAAAATCAAATTAATACATGACAACATGATAAGATCATCATCAACAACAACAACAGCAGTAATTTTCCCTTCATATTTTATTTCTAATAGATTATCTACTCTCTATATAATAGTACTACAAAATATTTCTATCCGTTATAAAATATACGAGTTAACCAGGTTAACTAAGACCTGCAATTAAAACAAGTTTTCTAACAACAAAGAATAGACTATTTGAGATCTATCGGGATGAAAATACTCTTCACTATATTTTATATTGTATTTGGGAACTGTGTTATGAATACATTATCATTGTTACCTTTAAGACGCCAGGCCAGCCTGTATATCGGTTCAGTCTGGCCAGGCAATATACAGTTGGCTTTATTTTCATCCCAAACATTGATACTGATGGAAGCTGGACAAGGCTTTCATTTAATTAGAGTTGTGGTTAAAATAATAATCATTCTCTTTGTTATATCTTAATGTATACATTAAACAACAAAATCAAGTCATCTAAAATAGGCTTAACAAATAAATTTTCCAAATATCAAAATCAAAAAAGTATATTATTAGTTTTAGAAATGTGTTGTAAACCCAGTAATGAAAATGCTATTTTGTGATATTTTGCCAGTTTTTGGGTTACTTCTGTAGATAGGACAATCATGATCTTTGGCTAAAGAAAATGCATTTGGGCAACTAATTTAATTCCTTTTTTCAGAATAAAAAGCAAAACTATGGAGGCGTGCTTTGTTTTTAAAGCTGCATGCCTCCAGATGAGCCAAAAATATTTCAATAAAATCAATCTTTGGGAAAAACCTACTAAGATCGTAAGAAAAGTAAAAAGATTAAATATTCAATAAATAATTTATAACTAATGTGTGATTAATGACTGACCTTGCAGTCATTATCATCATATTTCTACTGTTTGCAGGAAAAGCTATTTAGCATATTTTAACAACTTTTCGGTAATTTATGGGGATATTAAGTGCCGTTTGTAATTTGTTAATTATTTTCTTTGTTCACTTTACAATATATTACCTTTAAATACATATTCAAAATTTTCATAAAAATCAGGATGCTGCTTCAACAGATATATTTTAAATCTGTCATTATCTTCTATATCTTGAACATAAAATAATTGATTTTCCTATACTGTTCTTGTTTATATTAACATAATAAAATATAAATATGATGAAATAATAAAAGTATAATCACAAAAACTAACCAATGACTATAAGTGACTATGTACAAGTACATAAAAATTCCGTAACAATAAATAAAGACCCTAAAACAGAAAAACTGAAGACTAGTTGTCTTTCCCGTATAACATAAATTCTGATTACATCATCTCGTAATACCATACAGTGTACATACATGTACAATAAATGTCAAAATATACTTATTTTATAATATCGTAACTCGGTGCCAAAGTGACCTTCAATGTGAAGGTCAAAAAACGCAAAAGGTCAAATGTCTTATTATTAGATATTTACTATATAATATCTATGTAGGAGAATTTAAATAACCTAACTACCTTTTGTATACTGACTTATACCGTTTAACATTTTTGACAACCCTTTATATTTTATATTTCAACACATCTTGAAAATGAGTCTGACTTTGAAACAGAATGGAACCCGTTGTGATAAGTCACATAACACTGTATACACATAATATAACCTTGGTAATAATAACACTCTTTAAAAAAAAAACATCAGAAAAAAATATGACAAAATTTTTTAATCTGATCACATTATACACTCCTCTATGGACCAAGGGAGGTAAAAATCAATTGTTTGTATTGCAGGTTTCTCACAACCTGTACAGACGGACAAGTGGAAATTATCAAGAACTTACTATATCAATATCATACGGACAAAGTTAAGAAATTGTAAGATAACAATGGAAAAATAAGTCAAAACCAGATTTTGCCAGCCCTGCTGGATGTACATATCGGGGTTGACCGCAAAACTGCAGTGACTTATATGAAAAGAAGGACTTACAACAGTTTTGCATTCAACCACTGATATGATTGTTATTTCATAGATATACCATTTTTTGTTTGTAATAATAAAACACCAACAATATACTATATATCAAACTTCTTGATTATCTAAATACACAAACATACTTTAGACAGAAAACAATGAGTAAATGTTCATGTACCAGTATGACTATGTAATAGTCAATGAAAGGAAAAATATATAACAAGACACCAAATCAATTAACTGGTTCATAAATTTTATAATATCATCTTTGTTGAACAATTTCATTCTAGTACTCTAACAATTACTACTAAAACTACCACTAACTAAATTTCTTTAACACATATTTGAGCAATAAGGAAAACTACAGAAACAAAAAAAAGAATAAAACAGCAACTATGATGCCGTCCCTGCACCAATTTTAATATCTTCCCACAAAAAAATGCCCTGTATCAAAATTTAACAAATAAACACAAAGCATGGTAATTAATCATTGTAAATATCACAGAAAAATGGTTTTCTTGACTCGAAACTGATGCATAATTATACAACCCATTAACCAATCAAATAACAATTTATTTACAATAACAGGTGGGGTGAATTTTTTAAAAACCCTGGTGAAAGCAAACAAGCTAGTTTTCTAACCCTGGTGAAAGCAAACAAGTAGGTTTTCTAACCCTGGTGTCAGCAAACAAGCTGGTTTTGTAAATCTTGTGTAAGCAAACAAGCTGGTTTTCTAACCTCGTGCAAGTAAACTAGCTGGTTTTCTTATCTCGTGTCAGCAAACAAGCTGGTTTTCTAACCCTGGTGTAAGCAAACAAGCTGTTTTTCTAACCCTAGTGTAAGCAAACAAGCTGGTTTTCTAACCCTGGTGTAAGCAAACAAACTGGTTTTTTAAACCTGGTGTTAGCAAACAAACTGGTTTTCTAACCATGGTGTTAGCAAAAAACTGGTTTTCTAACTCTGGTGTCAGCAAACAAGCTGGTTTTCTAACCCTGATGTCTGTAAAACCCCTGTCACACTAGGACGGCGTTCTCACGGCGTCCAAAGAAAATTCAGAACGCCGAGGTGAGCGCAGTAAGATCGCAAACATCGCCACAGCATCGCCGTAGCATCGTAGTGGCATCGCATAGAACGCCGACCAACGGCACGCATTTTGAACATGCTCAAAACAAACGCCGTCGCTCGGCGTTCTAAAATGAGCGCAGTAGCATTGCAGTAAGGACGCCGTAGCAACTCAGTAGCATATCCTACAACGCAACAGGAGCGCTGCGAAAGTGCAAAAGGAACGCCGAATGAACGCCGTGGTTATCCACGGCGCTTGTACGGAGACTGTGCGACATCTTTACCGCGCTTAAACTGCGTGTGTACGGAGCTTTCACGGAGCTTTACGATTTCAACGCAGTGTGAGCGCCTCAAGAGCGCCGTAAATGCGCAGTGAAAGCGCATAGAACGTCATAGAAGCGCAGTCCGAATGTAGACAATCGCCAACTAAAACGCCATCGAAGCTCCGTAGCATCGCAATGATCGCCGTGAAGACGCCGTGCAGTCTTCATGACATCAACAATATTACATTTTTTATTGCGACCTCGCGGCGCTTTGTTAAATTTAACAACGCCGTGCGAACGCAGTGAAATCGCATCCTAGTGTGACAGGGCCTTAAACAAGCTGGTTTTCTAACCCTGGTGTAAGCAAACAAGCTGTTTTTTAACCCTGGTCTAAGTGAACAATCTGATGGTCTATATATAACAAACAAACAAATCCACTACAATTCTATGAACCATGGTGTGTATTGAACAAGTTGATGTTCTATATATAACAAGTCAACATTTAATACAAACAGTTCCACTACAGCTCTACGAACCATGGTGTGTAGGTCCCAGCTTTTGCCTTGGGAAACTAGAAATGAAAAGAATAAAAAGATTTTTCAAAAATTGTTTATCAATCAGAAACAAAAAATAGTGCATGACGATTCGTTGAAAGACACTTGACAGAATACGACCAGTGAAAGAATAGATATCTGGTCAAATAGTCCATTGATAGAATACGACACTAGGTCGAAAAATAGTCAATGATGATGAAATACTAAAACTAATTACATAATTAAATCACTATACATGTATATCATTATATTGGAATCCATTTCTTGAATAGGGAGTCGATGATTGTATCAAATCAACATTCCAGGCTTATTCTTCAAGAAAAGCTCTTGGCACCCTGTCACAAATTAGCGGTATTTTCTGAGACAAGTGGACATCTGGATAGAGCCATGAACATTTAATAATCTAGTTGGATGGCTCCAAGAAATGTAAACCAAAAAAACGACGAAGACCTGTCTGTTTTTAATAATCAGCATCTTTAATTCCTTGGTAGCAATGTGACCAAATTACATTTTAAAAGAAAATTTAATGTCTTTTGTAAAAAAAAGTACAAAATAGCTATAAAAATGTTATTAATAGCTGTTGAAAATATAGAATGTTACTTTACCAAGTCTGTAAACTGATCCTCACAGGACATTCTAATACGTTCCGGTGTTGCTGGACTTGGTAATGTAAAGTTACCATGGTAACCCGCATCTGCACGAGCTGAAGCTATAGCATCCTTGACCGCAAAGAATACTGATGAGGAAAGGAACAGAGGCGGTTCTCCAATAGCCTGAAATATTTTACAGTCTATACAGAATACATGAATTATCTGCTGCAAATATTTATTTGATTTAGAAAAGTTTAGAAAATATTTTTTCATGAATTTATATAAAACAGTATTATCATAGGTACAAAACATGTATCACATCTTAAAGGTTTTGAGAATTTGTTTATGTTTTGATGTTTTACTTAGTATGCTCTTAAAGTACCATCTTGGTTTAATACATTGATTTTCATGGAAATTTAATAAAAGCAAGCTTTTATTTTGCACCTGACATTTTCGCTCATGATCAGACTAAATCAAACAAAGTCTGTAGTTTTCACTTCTTTATTTTGTTTTCCCTGCTGAAGTTACTAAAGAATCTTCTTTTGTTTACCTTTGAAGAATACACAGCTCGTTCATTGATGCTGCCTTTGAGCAAGGTGACATTAAACTCTACTGGAATGTCACCAAAACCAGGTATCTTATAATTGCCAGGTCCTCGTGTAAACAGGAAACCTTTAGGTGAGATCTTCTGCTGTTCCATCATCATCATACCATATCCCTAACAATAATATACATTAACATTAACCCTAAACCTACTAAATATCATAAATGGACTTGTCCAGCTTCCATTTTGGGTAATGTCCATTATCAATTTTGGGGATATTAAGATGTATACATAGTTAGGAGCCAACAGTATAGAGTCTGGTTGGACAGCACAAACCTGTCGGCTTATCTGGTTCTATAATGATGGCAATCTGACACAGGCTTATCACTTTCAGTTTCAGTAAAGCAAAAGTTAAACAATTTCTGATGGACTATTGCCAATAAAGGTCATAATGTTAGTGGAAACTATTTCAATTAGTTTACCATCTACATGTATATATTTTTATGTATTTCTTTACACAAATTTGGGCAATGTTATTCAGTTCTTTTTTTATAATTATATGCAGTTTATACATGCATTCTGAATACATCACACATCATGTTCAATGTGCGATATTTGATAACTAAGTGTCTGTGTTTAAAACAGACAACACATAAATCATATGTACATAATTATAACCTGTTTACAAACAAGTTGTAGATATTTTCAAGTACTTGCTTTGTTTTTGGTAATTTGTATATCTTTCCTGAAATATTATTATTTTTCCTAAAAAAAATTGATCAAAATATTACCTGAGTAAAAGCTCCTTCGATTTGTCCAATATCTATGGCAGGATTTAAACTCATACCAACGTCCATAACAATATCTGTCCTCAACACCTACACATTAAAATATTACAGTCAGGATTCAAACTATCACAAAATCTGTCCTCAACACCTACACATCAAATATTACAGTCAGGATTCAAACTATCACAAAATCTGTCCTCAACACCTACACATTAAATATTACAGTCATGATTCAAACTATCAAAATATCTGTCCTCAACACCTATACATTAAATATTACAGTCATGATTCAAACTATCACAATATCTGTCCTCAACACCTGTACTTTAAATATTACAGTCATGATTCAAACTATCACAATATCTGTCCTCAACACCTATACATCAAATATTACAGTCAGGATTCAAAGTATCTCATTTTGATGAAATATTATCACATACGGTGCTTTTCTTAAATGAACTTGTCCATCTCTTCAACTGGACAAAACTGTTAAAGATTTTCAAAATATGTACCAACTTAATAGTGAACAGTGCAGACCATAAGATGGCACAGATGGGCCGGCTGATATTTGTCTGCACTGGTCACATGGGTAGAATCTGTTTCCACTAGCACGCTAAGAGTTAAAGCGGCACGCCACCAAGATTAAAGAAGCATTCTCAAAAGTTTAATACTGAACTTGAATCTTACATTATTCTACAACACACTATTAATTGAAATCTTTTTCATAAATAGAAAAGAAATGATAAAAAACAATTAAGTCATATCATAGGTAAACTTTCAAAGGCAGCATATTCAGTGAATGACATTTTTCTTCTAATATAACATACCTGATGGTCACCTGTCAAACAATCTATTTCTACCTCAGAACAAGCTACCCCAGTTGTAAAGTAATTAAACGGGTTTCCTTTTCCTGTTTTAAAATCATATCCAATTCCAGGTGTTCTGCAATATGAAAATAACTAATATATAGATAAAATATTGCTCTTCCCTCAGCCCTCAGTTTTTTGTTTATTTTTTGTTCTTGGGTGTGACATCAGTTAAGTGATCGTTTTGGTTAGAGAGGCTAAGCTTTTTTTAAAAATAGAGAAAAACAGAATCCCTAAATAACATCCAAAATGGTGACCTCCTATTATACTCTAAAATAAGTGTGTGAAGTTTCAGTCCATTCCCTACAGTAGTTTTGAAGATACCAAACTTAATCAAAAGCATGCAAAAACTTAACCAAAATGTGACACCAATACATGGTAAAGTATGAAAGCTCACCTTCTTCTTCAAACAGTCAAGCTTTAAATAAGCAGAAAAACACTACAAAAATGAAGAAATTTCAAACTTGATTCATTTATTTCAAGAATGGTTATATATATATATGTTACCTTCCAATACATTTGCAAACAGTCGACTGATCAAACAACTTATCAACACAAATAATCATGTCTACTGAAGTCTGTTCAATAAAAAAAAATCATTTGTGAAATATCTTTCACAGATATTGACTATGTTTAACAAAGGTTTGTAGGCAATATCTTACTTGTAGAATCCAGTAGAAGACAGACTTATTCTCTGCAGGTAGGCAGATTTTACCCAGTCTTCCCATGTTCCTTTAGGATTATCCCTCATTACAGGCTCCAATCTCTCAAGTAAAGTCTGACAAGCATTCTACATAAAATATAAAATAATAACTCATGTCAGTTGTTTGTCAATAACTTTTTATATAAATGTAATAATCCCATATTGTATTTCATTTTATTTAACAAATGTTAAAATCACTAGCTTTAGCTCTGGCAGTTATTTTGTTCAGCAGACTGAAACAAATTTAGATAATTGAGTTCCCTCAAAATCCACACAGCAATGCTGTTTAAAGCTACCCCTGTATCTCTATTTTAAGCTTTGCTGCCATCCTTTCAAAAGACAGGAACAATGCTAGTCAGTTTTGGACCATCCAAGGATTTATCTAAATGACTTCTATCAAAATCTGCATAGAGTAGAGGGATTAGATTTTGTTTAAATTCAGCTTTATATATTGCTCATCTCTGGCAACCATTTTGTTCAGAAGACTTTAATGGCTTTAACACTTTTTTGGGACCACCCAAGGATTAATCCTGTAATGATTCATCACAATTGACCATGGATTAAATTATGAGGAGTTGCTTAAAGTAAATGTTGATGACAACAGGAAAGGCCAATATCAAATTGTAATACTCAGGTAAACTAAAAAAAGATTCTGAAATTATTAAAATAAACAAGCTGTGAAATGAATTTTTAAGTGGTGCATGGGCCATAATTCAGGTGTATCTGGGTCATGTTCACAATGAACATACAATTTGTAAATTCTACAAGAAACGCCTATGAAAATGTTGATGTAACATACAGTCCTATTTGATTTTGCTTTTGATATCATAATTTTAAACTTATTTTGATTTTTCAAATATTAGGAATATTTTACTTCCAGTATCTAGAAGATTACAAAAATCACATTTTAAAACAATAAATATTCAGTTGATGTACATATAAACAATCTATCACAGGTATATGGTTATGCCTAGTAATGTAGTGCGATATACGGATCGGTGTTTGGGTGGGGTGGTTAATATAATCAATGGTCAATTATTACATACTCATTTATCAGTACATGTACAGTTTATAATACTGAAAACTGGTAAGAAAAATCAATGTTATCTATAGATAAATACATAAATTAAGAATACAACTTTTTCCATTTTCATAAATATACAGTTAATATTAAAACCAACCTAATGTTTAAACCTTGGCTATTAAAATCAATATTTAAATGTATTTAAATGTCAAACAATTTCTCTCTACATTACAAAACAAATTGATATCCCCCACTGATTATAAAAGCCCAAAATGTAACCTTCAATATGTTAGTTAATACTGACTTCAGATCAATAATGCAAAGAATAAAATATCAAATTACAGATATAATAGAGGACATTTATTGTATACCTTCATAAAGGCACTAGAAAACTTTTGATATATTTTTTATATTAAGTCTTAAAGCTATCAATATGGATGGATTTCAGTTTGATCAAGTTGTGTTTGCTCTTTTTGCAGTGTTTGTTATATTTGTACCCTGGTTTGTATCTCAATGTCATGGACGTAAAACAACAACAAACTCTGCTCAAACTGAAACTATGAGGTTTACAGAACGTTTGACAAATTACGGAGCCAAGAAATTAAACTTTAGAGAAAAATTTGATAAGTTTTGTGAAACTTGTGAGGCAACCATAGAAAATGAAGCTGTTGGATTTTGTCAAATGTGTGAAAAGTTTATGTGTTTAAATTGTTGTAAACATCATGAGAAAATTCCATTATCTGAAAGTCATGTGTTGACTGGAAAAGACGAATTCTCAAAAGTGAGAAAAAAACAGAAATTGTTTGAAAAAAGTTTGTTACACTTCAAAATTATCGTTTTAATCTATGTGATTCTGAACATTGTAGAAAGATCCCAAGATCAAGTTGCACCTTTGACCACAACATTCAACCAATTTGTTTGACACACAATATTGATGAATGGGGGAATTCAATAGGATGTTTTTTGAAGAAGTACAAGAAAGATTATAAACTAGTGTTGCAGTGGCAGGATAAGCTATCTGGACATACAGAAGAAAAGAATACACTAGATGTATCAGAATTCTATACACCTGCTGACATTTCTACATTCACAAGTTCTTCAGAGATATTTTCTACATACTACTTCACATTTCCTAATGTACAAAAGATATGTAAATATACAGCTGATGCTGATGTGGAATTCATTCATACCTGTGGTGAATGCTATGGAATAGCAGTTTTCGATGAAGGTCTTGCTATAACAATTAATATACCAACAAGCTATTCACTACCTGAGTGGCAAGTACAGTTTATCACTTTCAAAGGTTATGTAAAAAAACAAATATGTTTTGACAATGAAGGTGAACCACTGTTTAAAGAACCAAAATATCTCACATCCAATGATGCTGAAGACATTTTATTTGTGTCAGATCAGGGAAATCATTCAGTTATTGCTTTGGATATCAAAGGATACATACTCTTCAAATACACCCATGAAACAATTAAAACCCTCGAGGGTTAACCTGTGATGATGAAGGAAACATCTATGTTGCTAGTGAAGACAAAGTTATACAAATAGATCAGCATGGCACGAAATCTCGAGTCATTCTTAGCTCAAAAGAAAAAGAATTTAAAACATTAATTGATGTATGCTACAGTACATATGCAAGTGAACTTGGAGTTCTTAGTGAATCTGCTGAGGTGATTATTTTAAAACCCCTACCATGAATGAGATTTTCATTAAATTAAAATGCATTTCTTTTGAACTGAAAAATGACAGTCACTTTTGACAATGCTTGTGGAATTGTCAAGTTTAAACTTGCAAACAAAGCTTCAATAAGCATATTTGAAAAATACATTTTCAATATTTTTCCCCTACATTTTTCCTTTCTTCTGTCATTTCTCCATAAGTTACCTTAGTCATCTCTATAGTGATATTTCAACAATAAAATATTTTCTTATTCTTAATTGTACATTCAAAGAGCTCACATCTAACTGCAACAATTTTGTATCCTTATTTTGAAAATTTACCTTTACTGGAGAGGATTTTTTTTTTCCAACCCAGTCTTTTGAATTTCCTTGTGAAATGCTTGTAAATGTTGTTTATGTACAATTTATTGAATAAATAAAGTTTAAACTAATATTACAAATAAATATTTAAAAAGTTGTTATTATGTAGATAATTCTGTTAACTGACCTATTCTAGTTATAACGTCACTCATTCGTTTATATGGAGAATTTTGCTTGGCATTAGCTTAACCGTTATGACTCACCCTTTCCTAGACTAATTGAAAGAGATTTTATTATTAGACAATCGGTCTGCCTAAAATACGAACATGAGATTTTTGACAAAAGTGAGCGAAAGTGACTTTTAAAATTTGAATAGTACCAAATTTTTCTGTTTGCAGACGTATATTATTAGCAGCTTATAATATTTCTTTTTAAAAAATAATCACTATGATGATTTAATAGCCATTTATTTGCACAATTGCTATACACAAGTTCTGAGATCTTCCTTTCGCTCACTTTAAAAAATACGAAAGTGACATGTAAAATATTAAATATATAGAGTTTGATTTAAAATTTATAGTAAAACTGCAGTTCGCAGATGTATATTATCTGAAATATATAAAAAAAAAATTTTTAAATAATCATTTTGATGTTTTAATTGCCATTTTTTTGCATAATTTCTATACACAAGTTCCAAGATCTTCCTTTCGCTCACAGTAAAGAAATGGAAAGTGACTTGTAAAATATGAAATAAAGCATTGAATTGAAAGTTATACTAATATTGCATTTATCAGGTGTATATTATCAGAAATTAATATTATTCATTTTCAAAAATAATCATTAAGATGATTTTTACCCCATTTTTTCTACATAATTTCTATATATACAAGCTCAGCAATCTTCCTTTTGCTCACATAGAAAATACAAAAGTGACTTCTAAAATATCAAATATAGTGTTTAATTGAAATATAGTGTTGAATATCAAATTATTAATTTTTGATAATATACGTTTACAAACTGCAATTTAAGTACATTTTCAATTCAAACTCTATATTTGATATTTTACAAGTCACTTATGTATTTTTCAATGTAAGCGAAATGAAGATCGCTGATATTGTATATAGAAATTATGCACAAAAAATGGGGTATAAAACTATATATCATCAAAATGATTAATTAAGAAAATAAATAATATTAATTTCTTATAATACACAAACTGCAAATTTAGTACATTTTCAATTTAAACTCTATATTTAATACTTTCATATTTTTCTATGCAAGAGAAAGGAAGATCGCTGAACTTGTATATAGAAATTAGGCCAATAAATGGCGATTCAATCATGATTATGGTTATTTATTATACTATATACCATATATTTAGTTGCTAATAATAAACGTCTACAAACAGCAATTTTACTGTAAAATTCTATTAAAACAGTACAATTCAACTTCTAAAAGCCACTTTCACTCACTTTCATCAAAAATCTCACTTTCGTATTTTAGGTAAACCCATTAGACAATATGAAGAACTGACCTTTTTTCTGACAAGGGGAACAACTCTGTAGAACACCAGTAATTTGTAACTTTTTGTTTTGTTTTGGTTTTATGACTGACTAATGGGTCCACATTACCGCTCACAAAAAAGTGGTATACAACTGTAGATGTTGCTTATATAATTCAAAACAAATACTGCATGAACATGTGTAGGGTCCTAAGCTGCATGTACAATTGTTCAAATCATATCAGAAGTAAAAATATTCATCAGAATATTGAACACAGGGCCATAATTACACTTGAATGCTAACTTTATAACCATTGATAGAAATAGTTACAGATTCTTCAATGCAGAAAGTAGTTCTCATACGTTGTTATCCATAATCAAATATTTGATTTCAAACACTACTTTGAAGACTGATGCTTGTTTTTAGAATTACTTCCCTCGGAAATCATTGTGATCAGGGAATGTGGACCTCAGGGCTTGGCCAAGGTTGAATCCAGGGACATAACTTATACAACTTTTGGAGCAGCACTAGACAATGCTAAATCACCATGTTTTGTTATATCCTACATAAGTG